GTCGTATTCAATGAAATGTGCATGAAAGAAGGATTGCTGCCTAAATACAATACACACACACACACACACACACACGCGCATATATATATATATATATATATATATATATATATATATATATATATATATATATAATTTTTTGCTTACTAATCACGCTAATCCTTGTCTTTTACTAGACTATAAAGGAAACAATGGTGGCTTTGTGGAAAGTTTTTAGAGATACTATGTGCTTCTTTTCTCACTATTTACAAAATATTTACTTAGGCTGACACAGGCTGTCAAGAGTGCGGCAGCTGGTGGTAATCCGTAGCGGAAGTTCGAAATCTTCTTGTATGTGCCGCATTCCTTCAGGACATAGGCGATCACAACTCTCCAGAACTTTCTCTCCCTTGTAGTCCTTAGCAGCTTTTCTCCCTTTGCTAAGGCACCAACCACCCGTTCCGCCATCGATTCACGTATAAATGTCTCGCTGCCACCCACTATCTTTCTTGCCCTCAATATGCCCTGTGAGAGTTAAATTTTCCAAGCCCTCCTTCCTCATTATGTCCAAAGGAATTTCAACTGTTTTTTTCCCTGATTCTTCATTTTTGTATCGTAAAATCATTTTTATTTTATTTATATTTATTGAGATAACGATATATAATTTTTTTTTATATATCAAGAACAATATTGGTAAATATTGCTCTCAGCATAAACTACTATCGCCTTACTCGGGATGGGCAGAATTTTAATATGATAAATACAAATAATATAATAAATACAAAGTGGAAAAAGTTTTCTAGTCAGGCGTTTCGTCCTCAATACGTCTGATGAACGAAACGCGTCACACGAAATACGACTAAAGGACGAAATGCGTCACACGAAAAACTTTGTATTATATTATATTATTTTTATTTATCCTATTAAAAGTCTGCCCGTCCTGGGTAAGACGATAAACTACATCCGCGTCCTGGGTAAGGTGATAAAGTACATCCAAGAGCAAGGCCTCTGATCAGGAGGTTTTGAGGAGCGTGGAACCACCTCTTAATTGCTGGTGTTCCCAGGTCCACCCTGACCCGGGGTGGTAGCAACTGTTAGCTTTTGATCAGAGGCCTTGCTGTTGGACGTAGTTTATCGTCTTACCCAGGACGCAGATGTAGTTTATCGTCATACCCAGGACGGGGGAATGCTGAACTGTACCCTTTATTTAATCTAAGAGGTAGATTGTTCTCGTTCCACTGCTCAGGCCTAGAGATATCGTCCAGTTTTTATTTCCCTATGAGCAGTGGAAAGTCACAGTAAGCAAAGCTCTATCTTCTCTTTTTAAGGGAAACACGCCATCTTCACTCGTCCCAGTTTTGTATCCGAAACGTAAACAAAGCAATTTCTAAAGAATTCATGGATTATTTTTAATGCAAAATTTTTATTACTTCAAAATTCAAACACTTCGTATCTGAAATAGACAAACCTGCCAGAGAACACATTTTCTTTACTAAGACTTCTCAAATGCAGAGGCCGATAGACATAATACATACTGTTTAATAAATAAGAACAGGACGTCTATTTCAAACAAGAAGTTTCCAGTAATTTGAAGTAATAAAATGTCAGATTAAAAATAAATCCATTAATTCTTTAGATACATACACACATACATATAGTAAGGTAAAAATCCGTTGGTATATAATCCAAGTGGATCCTAGTAATATAAAAATATTAGAACTGATCCACAAAAAAGAGCTCGATAAATTTTATTTATACAGTTATATAATTAATAATCAAACAACTTCATGTGGGGAATAGGCTATTTTGGCAGACGACGAAAGTGGTCGTCTGTCTTTTTAACCCCGGTGTGTAATGAAGTTCACGTCTGTAAGGTTAGAGAAAGTGGCGGGTAGAAGGAGTTAACTGTGAGGAATTGATATTTGAAGCTAAAGGGTCAACTTAAACCTTAACTTGCCGAAAATATCTACTACAGAGTTTTCCTCTTCTTCTAACCTGTTTTACCCCGGGATTGAATAGAGACAGACGTCCACTTTCGTCATCTGGCAAAATAGCCTATTCCTCACATGAGGTAAAAGTTTTTGTTTGATTATATATATATATATATATATATATGAAGAAAAATTTGGAAAAAACAAACAAAAATCCTTAAATGCAATTATGTTTAAAATGAATGAAATGTCGACGTCTGACGTTTCGGTTTAATAAACCTTTTTTCAACGGAAAGCTGATCATTTTAAAAATTTTCAGTTATCTGTTTTGGATAAGACTTGTTTTTATGTCCATCGTCTTTGTCAAATTGAACTGAATTGTATTTTAATGAATATTGTCTTGAAAAAGGTTTATTAAACCGACACGTCAGACGTCGACATTTCATTCATTTTAAGCAACATAATTGCATTTAAGGATTTTGTTTGTTTTTTCCAAATTTTTCTTCATTCTGTCGGATCTATATCCATTTACATTTGCTTATATATATATATATATATATATATATATATATATATATATATATATATATATATAATAAACAAATTTAATGACTTTAAAATTGCTTCGGCATTTTTCACGCCAGAATGACGATTAACAGGAAATAAAATGTTTAGGAAAAAAAATCAGCATTTTTATTCATAAAAATACACTTACACATTCTTTAGGTTAATAAATATTTTATCCATGGGTCAGTATTATTAGAAAGACACGTGAAAATTTTAAGGTTTTCCTTTTTAAATTAATCTTAATTCTTAACTTCTTATCCGTAGCAATTCCCCTATCATTTCGTTAAATATCAGAACTCAACAATTTTAACAAAATATGGCAATAAAAATCAGCAATAGGAATACCGGGAGCACCGAGATCGATTACGACTGAGGTCGATCATAACTAGGTACCCCACACTTTCGACTTTGTGACAAGTCTAAGCCTCGCTTAGAAAATCGCCATAAATACGAATGTTGGCCGTTATTTTAAGAAGTTGGTAGAAATAAAAATATTTGACATTGGCAACTTTTTTTTATTTCAATGAAATAGCCATTAAACAGTTCTTTCTTTCATTCATTATCTCACTAAAATCAAGTCGAATCTTCCTCTTTTTCCCTGCAATCAAAACAGAGGAATTGGCAGGAGACATAAAACACTTTTCTTTTCTTCTATCTATCTATCTATCTATCTATCTATCTATCTATCTATCTATCTATCTATCTATCTATCACATTCTGTTCATATCTATCTATCTATCTATCTATCTATCTATCTATCTATCTATCTATCTATCTATCCAAATCCCCTTCTTATGAACATTTCTCTTAATAATAATTAAAATATAATTCAGCAGACGATGTTATTTTATTTAATTTACTGTCACTAGATCTTTGTGCGTCTAAAAATGAGGTTTAATTGCGCCCACCATGACTTCTTGTCCTTGTGGCTGAGATCAAAATGTAGTATCTGTTCGTATCAGCTGTATTTTAATTCCCATCTTTCTGTATTTCATTTTCTCATTAAAACCAAATAATATCTTTCTACGTGAGGGTGTGCATATATATATATATATATATATATATATATATATATATATATATATATATATATATCATATCATATCTTTCCTATAGTCTCTCTATATATATGTATATATGTATGTGTGTGTGTAAAATGAATGATTAAAAATCATCTGTCTATTAGTAATTTCCATTTGTCTGTTTATTCCTAGGTCCGTTGATGAAGGACACAGGCGTGTCAGAAAATTCCGAATTTACAACCTTTCTCTTCGTGCTTCATTTCTGCCATATAGTTAATAATTAAGATTTAATAAATATTTATTGTACTGATTATATTGATACCCTTTCGTTCGTCTTTGTTTTATTAACAAACCTATATATGTGGGTGGTGTAATGGGTAATCGCTCGGAATTGTTAACTAGAGAGCCGAGTTCCAATTCCAGTTGGGCTTGTCATATTCACTTATGCACAAATACGCTAGAGACTACTCCTCTTCTCTCCCTGTTGTGAGTTAATTAGTAAAAATTGTCTCCTCCAAAAAATAAAATTGCGTACAAAATATTTAGATTTCGGCATTAAATAACCCATACGCTTGATATATTGCCATGGCGCAAAATATTGGGTTGGTGCATAATTATCAGGCGTTTTTAAACAATATTTATTATGAAAAAAGAAACATGATAATTCAACCATAACATTTTAAAATGATTATTTCAGTGCGTATAATTATCGACACTCATTTTTATAGTCTGAAAATGAAATAATATTTTTATTAAAAAAGTAAACGAAACAACAATTTTTATTAACAAATAACTCGGCTAGAAAAACGCCTGATAATTATGCACCAATCTAATAAAAACAGACAAACAAAAAGTCCTAAGCAACCAGGACTAAACAAAAAAATAAAAAATAAATAAAAAAAAAATAGAATGAAATAAAAATAAAGTCTTTAGGAAAATTAAGAAAATTCAACTTCGCAGAATAAATTAATTCCTTATTATCGGAATTTTCGGATTCTGAGAATACGGAACTATTTTCTTCAATTCCAAACAATTTCGTTGTTAGGGTAATGAAACGTATGTTTACTTCGAGGGCCTAAACTATTTGCTTATTACATATGAGAATTTTAGTGGCATTTTATGCAACCACCTGACATCATTTTAAAAGCTGACTCTCATTTGCTTCATCTGATTTCTGTGGCGATTTCAAGATCGTTATTCTATGATTGTTAAGACTAACTTCGATCGTTATTCTATGATTGTTAAGACTAACTTCGATCGTTATTCTATGATTGTTAAACTAACTTCGATCGTTATTCTATGATTGTTAAGACTAACTTCGATCGTTATTCTATGATTGTTAAGACTAACTTCGATCGTTATTCTATGATTGTTAAGACTAACTTCGATCGTTATTCTATGATTGTTAAGACTAACTTCTTGGGGTGAAATCTCTACTGTTTAATGACAACTGACAATGCTTCATCTGTGAAATTCGAATACTATTACATCTAATACTGGCATACGGCCATATCATGTTGAAACACAGGGTCTCGAACGATCATAGAAGTTAAGCAACGTCGGGCCTGAACAGTAACGAGATGGGCGACCGCTTGAGAATACCAGGTACTACTGTAAGCTTGGGTGTCCGAGTGACATGACTTACAGCCATATCACGTTGAAAAACCGATTCTTGTACGATCAACGAAGTTAAGCAAGGTCATGCTTGGTCACTACCTAGATGGGTGACCGCTTGAGATTATCAGGTCCTGTAAGCTTGGGTATGCGAATAGCATGACTTACAGCCATATCATGTTGAAACTCTGGTCCCGTACGATCAACGAAGTTAAGCAAGGTCACACTTGGTCACTACGTAGACGGGTGACTGCTTGAGAATAGCAGGCACTGTAAGCTTGGGTGCGTGAATGGCATGACTTACAGCCATATCACGTTGTAACACCGGTTCTCGTACGATCAACGAAGTTAAGCAAGGTCATGCCTGGTCACTACCTAGCCGGGTGACCGCTTGAGATTATCAGGTCCTGTAAACTTGCGAGTGCGAGTAGCATGACTTACAGTCATATCATGGTGAAACACTATTTCTCGTACGGTCAACGAAGTTAAGCAAGGTCGCGCCTGGTCACTACCTAGATGGGTGACCGCTTGGGAAAACTAGGAGCTTTTTGCTTGGAAATGGTATAGCCATATCACGTTGAAACACCGATTATCCCGCGATCGTTGAAGATAAGCAACGTCGAGCCTAGAAGCTTGGATGTGCGGTTGGTGTAATGGATAACGTATTTCAATTCCAGTCGAGTTCATTATATTCACGTACGCGCAAATATCCTTCACCTCTTCCATCTCCCCAACTATGTGATAATTAGTAGAACTTGTATCAATAAAATCACTAATATCTGGAAAAAAATTCTTACACTTTAAAAAGAAAGATTTTATGTCTTTAAATAATTTGAAAATGGTTGATAAACCGTAAAAAATGAATCGATTGAACATCTAATACTACTACTGTAAAATGCACGCATAAAAGTTCTCGGCGTGTGGCGCTCGAAGACGTAAAGACTAGAACTATGTGGTTAAATCTGAATGACGTCTCGTTGTTGATACTTCGTAGCCTAATCGTTAAGGGTTAAGCACAAAAAGGTAAGTTCAAAAGGATAAGAGAAATGTAGAGTTCGAAGACTTATTTCCGATCTACGCGGCTTACATCAAGGGTGATAGAAATAATTTCACCTTGGAACTATTTTAACTCGGAACTAATTTCAACTCGGAACTAATTTTACCTCGGAACTATTTTCAACTCGGAACTAATTTCACCTCCGAACTATTTTCAACTCGGAACTAATTTCACCTCGGAACTATTTTCAACTCGGAACTATTTTCAACTCGGAACTAATTTCACCTCGGAATTAATTTCACCATGGAACTATTTTCAACTCGGAACTAATTTCACCTCGGAACTATTTTCACCTCGGAACTATTTTCAACTCGGAACTAATTTCACCTCGGAACTATTTTCAAATCGGAACTATTTTCAACTCGGAACTAATTTCACCTCGGAACTAATTTCACGTCGGAACTATTTTCAACTCGGAATTAATTTCATCATGGAACTATTTTCAACTCGGAACTAATTTCACCTCCGAACTATTTTCAACTCGGAATTAATTTCACCTCCGAACTAATTTTACTTCGGAACTATTTTCAACTCGGAACTAATTTCACCTCTGAACTAATTTTACCTCGGAACTATTTTCAACTCGGAACTAATTTCACCTCCGAACTAATTTCACCTCGGAACTATTTTCAACTCGGAACTAATTTCACCTCGGAACTATTTTCAACTCGGAACTAATTTCACCTCGGAACTATTTTCAACTCGGAACTAATTTAACCTCGGAACTATTTTCATCTCGGAACTATTTTCAACTCGGATCTAATTTTACCTCGGAACTAATTTCACCTCCGAACTAATTTCAACTCAATTTAAAATCAAGCTTATCAATTTCCATGGATTCCTAAACAAAATGCAATGAGTTGGTGTTAATTTTTTTTAATTTAGCCTTAAAAATCCTTAGTAGATAAGATAATTCAGAATTCACCTTTTCTGCAACTTTCATTCTTTTTTGTTGCAAATGAATAAAGTGGTATTTTTTTTATTTACTTAAATCTGATTCAATAAAAATGCAATGTTCTTTGTAGTGATTTTCCAAGTGTAGCTTAGATGTGGCACAAGGCCGAAAGTAGGGGGCACCCAATGAGTATCGAACTCACTACTCATTCGTAACTGTTCTAGCGATACAAGCTTGCTAGCTGTTACACTGCCTCGAGGTTCTTTGTAGCAAGAACAGTAGCTTACTTAGCTGTTTTTTTTTTTTTTTTTTGGTAAAACTTTCGTTCAAAAGAGGCTATTTTTGATCAAAATTTAAGAAAATCAATAAATTAAATTTTAATTTCGTTTGAATAGTTCCGAGTTGAAATTAATTCTGCACCCCTACAACAAGATCGTAGAATGACGATCTGGGCGTAGTGATAAAAAGCATGGGAAATTACATTGAATATGTCGACTGTAAATAAAGCAAAAGAAATAAAATGATATACTAGGCTGAATTCATAATAGCTGACCAGGATTTTTCTAAGAAATTCGAATACTATGACATCTAATACTACTAGCGTAAACAAAGCAAAATAAATAACGTGAAAGAAATACTAGACACAAATCAAATATTATTTGAAATTTCACAGAGTCAGCATGTCAAGACTTCGTCTCGGAAATTCAAATAATATCTCTATCTATAAAAGGCAGGATGTGTGTGTGTGTGTGTGTGTGTGTGTGTGTGTGAGCGTGTGTGCGTGTGTAACGAATGCACGGCCGCAATTTTTAGCGGGAAGGCCAAGACCGACTTTGCATTTCCCAACTCCCATCGATAGTGGAAATAATCGATTTTTTTCATGCTTCTACGGCAGTTGTCATGTAGTTTGTGGCCATTTTCTACTGGCCAGAGTGAGAGCCAATAGCTGACTGACACGATAGCTGCATTCGTCACAAGTGGGAAAAATTTAAATCTGCATGGCACTTTACTCCAATTGGCTCATTCGCTTGCTTAAACTCAACGTTGATTCTGATTCCGCAGAACTGGGTTGAGTGTGAAAAAAGTATTTGTTGTTGACATCCTTTTTCATTCGGTTTTTCCAGTTACGAGTCCTTTTTAAAGCTGATCGTTTTATGTTCATTTTGTTTATTTTTTTTCGTAACAGATTTAATGTTTAGTATAGAGCTTAGAAAAAAAATTCGCAGTGGGAGATAGGCAAGAAGTAAGGCATGTAGCAACATCAGCACGGAAAAGGGCACTCCTTTTAAAACAGGCAAGGAAGGGCAAAAATATTTTAAGTCAAGTGATAGCGATTGCTGTATGAGTCGTACGATTTTTGAATCAAGCCCGGGCAACGCCGGGCCATGCTGCTAGTTATATATACGAACGAGAGTTTGCTGAAAAAATTGCCAGATAAATTCTGATGTTTCTTTATCTGGTCAAATTTTTGGACGTGAGCGCCCTCTCGTAATCTTACTAGCAAGTTAAATTAAGCAAGTGAAAAAAGATGGAAGAAATTCCTGTAAAAAATAAATTATGCTTTATCTAAGAAATTCAAACAATATACTGCTTACATCTAATAGAGCCTGTGTACATAAAGCGTGGCCTAATTTCACCATAGTCGATTTTGTCAGGAAGGTGGATTTTTTGGTGTTATCGACCCTTTTCAAGCACTTTCCAAAGTGCCTGAAAAGCATACTCCGTGTTGACCCAAGCCATGTGAGTGAACTTGGGTACAGTCACAAGTCATTGTGACCAAGGGTTTGACCGTGCTGGCCTTGTTCAGACTGTAACTAAGGTCCGCTCAGCATAGTCGCAGTATAAACCACATATGGGCTCCGTGGGTGTTGAATAAACACAAATAAGCAGGCACCTGCAACCGCCCTAGACTGGCATCCTCGGATACGAGTGGTTGTGTCATTTTAGATAAAGCAAACGGAATCAGATGAAAAAAAAAATACGATTAAAAAATGAATAATGATTAACAATGATTCATCTAAGAATAGATTTGTAATGTAGATTGTAAATATACATATATTTGTAAACTTAGCGTTGGATTTTACATGAATGTTCATGATGAGAATAATCATTTCCTTATAAGGAAACATTCGACATTCATTGACCGAACGGTTAGCGTTACTGTCGGTTGAAATTAATAAAATCTTTCTCTTAAAACAGTTCTCTAGGAAAATAGACATCTCAAGTCCAATAACTGTTATAGCTCTTTCTAGTACTGGCGAGAATTCCTTTTCACTTTTTGTTACCCCCACCTCTCCAAACAAGGCGCTAATACCACTAGAACGCAGGTAGGGGGCGTACAGGGAGTGAAAGTGACTCAGAATGGGGAGGATTGAGGAAAGGACAGAAAAAGAACAGGGTTCAAGAAGACAGAAGGTGGACATTGACGATGCATTTAAATCTTTGACAATTGTAGTTATCAGGGAAGCAAGAAATCGGAAGGGACTTCCACAGGTGGGAAGTGTTAGAGTAGAAGTGGCGGTTGCATATAGCTAGTTCAACAGCAAAACGGTAAGACCTAGTCGTCAATCTAGTAGCACGCTTAAATTAATGTCTTCGGGGCACCAGGGGAAAAAATCTCATCAGAACAGTTGCCATGGAAATATTTGTAGAAAAGACAGAGGGAAGCCATGTTATGTCGTATTTGATTTTTGAAGAGGAAAAAGTCGCAAGAGGCGTGATCTGGGGAATGTGGTGGCTGTCGGACCTGGGGAATGTTGTCTTAGCCCAAAACTGCCGCACAAGCCATGGTCCCTGATAGAACTTCTGTGGTGTGGTGCGACGACCACACTCTACACACTTTCTTTTCGAACATTGATATAAACAACGGTAGTTAGCGAGAACGTTATAACTTCGTGTGTATATGCAACAGTGTTCAAGGTCAATTGGTGCTAAGCGGTTTCACTCTGCATACTTTAGCTTCGTTACCATAGTAACAATCCCGATACTTTTTGATCAGACTTCATATGTTTAAGAAAAATCACGTAAATTATTTTTTTTTCTTGGATTTTACAACCGTAGAAAATGACGTCATTATAGTATGGGACACAAACACACACATTAGTTCGGCTTACATGAGTGCGGTTGGTGTAATGGATAGTAACTCGAAAGGAGAAATCGGAGAACCAAGTTCGAATTCCAGTCGGGTTCGTTAAATTCACTTACTCGCCAATATCTCTGATCATGATACGTGTGAGTAGAAATCTTGGGGACAAGACAAAATGAATTTCAGCCAATAAGCACATTTGCGAAAGGATATTCATAAACTAGAAAAACGATCAATAAATATAATATACACAAAATGTATATTGTTTTAGCAATGTACACAAACATACACACACACAGGTTTACGGCCACATCACATTGAAACTCCATCACCGAAGTTAAGCAACGTCGAACCTGGTCAGTACCGAAATAGGTGACCGCTTGGAAATATCAGATGCTGTAAGCTTGGATATGCAGGGGTTGTAATGGCGAATGACTAGGAATTCTTAGTCGGAGGGCCGAGTTCCAATTTTGGTTGAGTTCGTTATATATACTTACGCACAAGTACTC